CCCGCTGGACTGTCAACATGTACAGTAGGTCATGTAGGAAGTTAGAACAATCATGACAAGGGAAACACCCGGATAATTACATGTTACTGCTGAGCTAAACTCAGTGAAGGATTAGTGCTTCTCTGTTCTGTTGAAGAGGTGCGCATTGCGTTAGTTGAAAGGGTAAGAGGAACGTTGGCAAGCGAATCGCGGTGTGCTGCGGAAAGGTTCCTGAAGAATTGCGGGATTTGTCGCGTGACAGGATCTCTTGGCAGGTTGTTCATCCATTTTCCTCAGTGCACCACAGGTGCTTTGTTTTGTCATGTTCCATCCACACATTCCTTGTTTTTGCCGGAAGCACTTCCCTGAGTCCTGAGTCCTTTTCAATCCTCGCGCCATCGGAACAGTCCTCAGTCTGTTGGTTTCAGGGATTGGACTTGCGATATCCGCAGCCATTGCTAGTGCTGTAGCTGGTCACAAAGTGGGCCAATCTCGTCAAAAAGTGCGGACCAGAGATGGAAGGGGCAGATTTGATCGCACCTGGCGATTGTTGCAAGTGCTTGGTCTACTCGGCACATGCGCAAAAAAAAGGTGGAATGAACAGTCCTTGAAGGCTGGACCATGGTGCAAGAGTGGAAGACATTTGCTACGACTTTTCCCTTATGCATACTGACTTTCTTGTTTGATCACTGATGCCAAAACCGCTTTGCAGTCTGTTCCCTCAGGACGGGCAGAGGGTTTCTTTGTTGGTACATGGTCCGGTTTTGTCGCACAGCTATCCTCCCTCAGGTTCGAAAACACCCCGAACAGCCTCAAGTCATTTAACATGTTGGACAAACAATTGAAAGATCCAACGATTAAAGTGTGAAAGGTGTAGCACAATAATTGCAGGATATTGCAGGCGTTTCTGAAGAGACGATTGTTTTCCTGAAGATGGCTTGATGTAGACATAGTTGTAGAGGTTGCAAGATGTTTTTGCCGTTTTTGCTGCAGATGGGAGCTACTGCCACACTCCGACGAACACATCACATGGAAGTGGAAAACCGATGAAGAAACCACTGTCTGTGAATCTGTGAAGGAAAGCAGTCTTCGAACATGTGTGGTTTCATCAGGCCTAAAGAGCCTTGTTAAAGCAAGCTTTGCTTGTTTGAGCTTGGGTGTTTTTTCAATGTTTTTTCTGGAATCGAACCACTCACTGAAAAAGCAATGATGTGGAGCAACCATCTCTCGTCTACTTCTCAAAGACGGTCATTTCATCGTTTCTTAAAATCGTGAAATGAACATGGAGAATGGAACAAGAAGCACCGTGGAAGCTTGTGCTGCTAGCATAAACTTTGAGTCCTCCTTGAACAGTTCTTTGCGTTATGTTCAGGTATTGCCTGCAAAACACCAAGCAAAAGGGCCCTTTGCTTGGCTCGCCAAAAAGGCAACGCATCTTTCAGCTCAAGCACTTGCTATGTTACAACATATTGCAAGAGCTATCGAGCCTTGCACAACTTGCGAGCTGTTTCAATGCACGCCAGTTTGTGCTTTTCCATGGTCTTTAAGGTTTTAGGACTGAACAGAATCTACAAAGGGCGTACAGAATGCCAATATCCAATCCCTTGAGCCGCACCAAGAGCTTTATAGATCAACAACGGCCCTGCGAAAGTCCGCGAGATGGAAACACAGATGAAGACAGACACCTAGTCTTTTCGAGAATAGTGATCCCAAGAGAACGTGGCCACCAACTCACAGAGGCCATAACTCCACCAACTCACTGTTCAACTCTTTTTAACTGATATTCAACAGATCACATGGGGGGAAGGCCCTCTTCAGATCAGATCTCTCCATCCCCGGTGCTGCTTCGCTCACCGCGCATGAAGCGCCCGCTCACGGCCTTTTCGGACCAGCCGCACTGGCCGAAGCGAAGCGAGACGAAGCTGGTGATGGTGATGAATTGCACATGCACCGTGATGCACCGTGTATAGTGTATAGGATGACATATGGGTGATGGCATGACTTTCGGGCAATCTTCCTGTTTCTCCGCGTTTGAGGGAGGGTAATCTGGCAACCTGCATTGGGAATCTGCATTAGCATGAGCATGTCACTCCCCGTCCGCTTGCCACCCTGGCTTTCAAGGTTGATGAGTGAGCACTGTGTAACATGGCCTCAAATACCATCATGTTTCACAAGAGGCCAGACATCAATAAAGAGCCTAGATTTGAGAGGACACCTGACTGACCGTTGCTTGCAACTCCAGTTTATGATGGCCCCCAAATAGATAGTGGTACGGTTTCCAAAACATGTTTACTGGGGATCTACTTTTCTATCTATACAATTCAGATGATATCGGGTCTGTATATAATATGGCTCTTTAGTCAACTGACCAAGGCCGTCAGTGCTTGAAGGGTTGTTATCGACTTCACGCACAGCTGTGCTCTCGACTTTACAATGGATTTTTGTTGACCTGCAGCTTTGATGTTCAACCATTCATGAACCGTGTCTTTTTTGTTGTTAAGTTTTGAACAGGTACTGTCAGGAAGAGAGACGCAAATACCAACCCATAGTTGGTATGGACCCCCACACCAAACAATGACGCCCAAGCGATCGAAACCATTTGTCACACATCTGATCGAAGCCAGGCGCCGAGCTCGTTTGCAGCCCAGGCGGGATAAACCTCTGTTGAGGTGAAGAGAAACTGCTCCAGTTGATAACCTTAAACGTTTTTGGGGATAAAGGATGAACAAGGTAAACCGTTATTTTCCAGGAAAACTCAGGGAGTCAGAGTGCTGGACAAAACCTCCAAGTCGTTGGTCAAAGTCTCCACCTACGGACAAAACTCCAAAAAACATGTCCCCCGAATCACAGGAGACCGCACAACGTACGTGACACCAGATACACCAATGATGCACCAGATTCAGCTGTCCAAGGACTCTTCCTTCTGATCACTCTGGATTTGTTGATTCTTTTCGCCGCGGCTCCCCTTTTCGTCGTGCACTCCCTGTCTGGCTCCATCAAGCTCGTGAGGCCCAACAAACAGGTGGTACTGCGCAGCCGCGGAGAGAGGCGTGGCGATGTCGAGTGGCACGAATGTCCGAGTTGATGATCCAATCGATGTTGTTCTTTCCTTTTCAAACGGCTTCAAGTTCATCCTTTATCCATACTTTTACCAGTCAGAAGTGTAACTGATGAGGAGGGAGCATGGTTCGGTGGTTCTCTAAACAAAAACGGTTGGCTGAATGCTGCCTTCGCTGACGTCGGTGCATATCCCGGAATCCCTCCTTTGGAATAACAGCCTATATACGCTATATATATATATGTATTGCATCCATAGGTCCATAGCGTAGCGCATCAATATTTACCAGCACTGACCGTCACTGAGTTACCTCGTCTTCTTCTTTTGTTTGTAATATATTACATTCTGATGAAAAGCTTTTCGATCCTTTTCAGCTCCTGCGAGCTTTGGTTTGACTTGATAGCCATGACTTCGTGGCGAGAAGGGTAGTCGGATGGGAGAGCACCCCAAGGATTTGAGCGATCTTGGTTGATCTATCTTTCTTTGGTTCTAACTGAGAACTTTGGCAACATACTTCAACTGCTTCAGTGTGGCCGGTTGAACTTGGCCAGGCAAGATGCGCAAGATGCGGAGGCACGAGCGAGATGAAACGAGGACGCCCAGAGCTGCGTAGAAGGATACTTACTGTAAGTAGATGTTGACGTGATGATTCGAGGGATCGCCACATTTCAAGAGAGTCCCAAATGTTGCAGAATGATGGCAAGTGGCGTAAGTGTGTGTGTCTGTCATTGTATATCTAATTCAGGCAAGCATCAGTCGTGCGGGGACTTTTGACTCTTGAGATCAGATTGAAATGCTTAGGCAGATCCTAGGGATGGGCAGATGCTGCTTTTCTGAAACATCTCTCAAGAACTTGGCTGTCGTGATTTGCCGAGGACCTGAATTCCTTCTTTTTCCCGACAGAAATGCCACGCGCACAGGCGCGTCCCAGTCGCCGAGTCTTCACAGGGCCCGGAAGCACAGGGCTGGGAGGTTTCAGCGGAGCGGAGCGCTGAGGAGGTTGGTCAGTGTGCTACAGCGGCGGCAATCTAATCTGATGCACTCCCTTGCTCTTGGGGAACAGATATGGGGAGATGATGAGAGATGGTAATTGTCAAAAGCACTGCAGACCCAGACTGTTGAAGCTTTGAATTTGCCATGACCTAGGCCCAGTCACGTGGGACCATAATTACACTTTTGGCATCTGTCATGTCCAAGAACCCCACAAGGAACGGGGTGCTGGCAGCAGGGTCTGGATAAAAGCTGATGTTTTCAGCTGTTCGACCATGTCAACTCTTCGGTGAATCGATGACTTACCGATCTTGGGCGGACCTTGTGGTCCTGCCGAACTCGTGGTGCACTCAGGGAGCCTCCAGTGGAAGAAGAGGATGGGCTCTATTTTGGATGTGGGGATGGTCGGACGGCTGGGGCTCATGCTTTTGTGCTTCAGAGAGTTCGCCACTTGGAATCGGACCTTTGCAAGGTCTTTGGACCCTGATCTGCAGGAAAGGACTTGGTTTGACATGCTTTGACTATCTTTGGTTTGGCAAGAACGGTTTGATGGCATGCCGCATGCCAGCTTTGATGTTGACATTTCAGGATATGGTGTTCTGTTTGGGTTGTGCAGCTCTGCTTGGGGTTTAAGGCTTGAGCAGCTCTCCTGGTGGGTTGGCATTGGACATATGACATATGGTGAAAAGCTGCTTGCAGGGTTTGAATCCATAACGATTTGACAGAAAAAGGATAGTGTGAGAATCCAAAGTCTCAGCTTCCAGGGGAAGTCGAGCGCACCCAACGGAAAAAGAGACGCACCCACCCGCAACATATGGAATCCATAGATCCGCAGAGGGTGCTTCCTTTGGCATCTAGAAAGATTGGAAAGGTTCAGAGGATGCTTCCATTGCCCACAAACCTTAAACCGCCATACCGAACCCAGGCTGAACCGCTGTCCATCCGACGTGCGATGCCGACTCAGGGGCCGCTGATGGTGCAGCGCTTGTCCTCCTCGGCACCGCCACCGCCGCCCCCCTTCGATGAAGCTGGCGAAGAGGAGACATGGGGAATTGGAGGTAGCACCAGGTTTAAGAAGCTTCGGTGATCCATGAAGATGGGATCCAATCAGCTACTTATAGAGGTGTGTGGGTCAGTACGATCAGTACTAGCCACTAGCCACCACCTCCCTCTAGTTCTCAAATGTGATTGGCACTCTTCGGAAAGGACTGGGGTCTCCACTGTCGATAACAACATTTTGTTGGACGAGTTCTACGACTTTTCCCTGACATGATTTTGTTAAGTTCCATGGCCTATCACCATAGTTCTAAGGCTTTTTCCGGGTACAAACCAGGGAGAAGTCGACAGGCCCAGCGGCCCAGCCAGCGACTACTTTTGGTCGGGCGAATGAAATCACAGCTTACTTGAAATCGATGACTCATGTCCGTGACCAGCCCTCTTTTTATAAAATTCATTCATTTTATTGATTCATGGCGCCCACATGCGGGTTCTGCAAGATTCTGCAGGGATACACACAGATCAGGTACATGCAGTAGGTGGTATGCTCATTGTTCCTGTCGCTAGCCTTCACGGCAAGGCTGCCCGAAGACACTGCGTCTTCTTCCACAACGCGCCCATTCGAGTGAATGAGGCCCGGGTTCGGACAGGGTTCCGATCTAAACCGTTGCCTGACTGCATTGCAGGACCGGTGAAGGCACCACCTGGACCGGTATGGCTCGCGCTGATCTGTCCTAGGGTTGGGAGATTCCCTAGGGGCCGCACGTGGGCCACAACCCCGGCTGGAAGCCCTTTGCCGCACGTCGGTGCAAAACATACCCATCTCGATGTTCCTGATATGTCGATTGATGTCGATTGTCCACTGGAGTCGTCCAAGATGCTGCATCCCAAGGGTTCGCTGTCCCATCGATTCTGAGGCCACCTTGAAGCGCTTCTTCGAGCGAGCGGGGAACGTCCGGAGGTGGGAGCGGGGGCATTGGTCTTAAGCTAAAACGTTTTGTGTGGATCCCAGAGTCTTCCAGCATCTGGAAAACTGATGATTTTCCAGGGGAAGTGGAAGTGGTGCTGGGTTCTTCATCCCTCAACTGCCCATACCGCCATGCCGAATCAAGGTGGGCTCAGCAGGTTAGCAGAACTTGCTTCATCGTCGATGGGCGCATCCGATGGCGCTCTTGCGAATCAACTGGCTTACAGTAAGCAGAAAGCAGACCCGTGCGGAGTTCAGATGGGGCAAGCCGTTCTCCATCAGAACGGCTTTAGGGACCGGACGACCGGACTGGAACCGACGACTCGACGCGGTCATGGGAGGATCGGACTGTGCTACTTCCCCATGGATGGGACCGGGACGCTTTCAGGCTGCGTCTCTTCATGGAGAACGGCCAATCCAGAGGCATGGGCGTGGTAGCTCAGAGGAGAGGGCCGTCGGGTGCTTTGGGATAGAAAACACGGTGTGTAGTTTAATAGGGAGGCTCCCTGGCCCAATGGGTGGTCCGTGTGTGTCAATTTTCCTTCTTCCACGGGGTTGAACTGAGAGGTCTCCCATTTTGGTGCATACCTGCATGGGCCTACATGAGGTAGGTAAATCTCCCTCCAACAAACAGTGGAGTTCACCCCCCTTTTTGTTATTCTGAAGATTGTCTTTCCTGGGGCCATGCCATCCACGTCCAGGATGGTTTCACGGAGTGCAAATCTCCAACTATCTCCAGTTTTTTGCACATTCACAAATGTGTGAGCGTGAGTGTGTTGTCAAAGTTCTTTGTAGATATTAATTTGCTGTCCATGTGTATCACAGTGTATGGTCGTTCTTTTCATGTCATGTCGAATGTAGAAACCAATGTCATCCTATGTAACAACCTGTCCATAATAGTGCGTATACAGGTGTGTGTGTGTATGTCTGTAATATAAATATATACACTGTACACTGGCCAGACAAAAGTTGCGCTTCTTGAAACAGAAACTCATGTCAACCCTACTGTCAACCCTTACCCCCTAGAATCCTACATTGGGAGACCTGGGGCCGTGTGGGCGGTCATTTTTCACAACGGTGTGATAATTGACTGTCCCACACCTGCCACGCAAATTGGACTTAGTAATTCGATCCGCAGCTGACCATACAGCGTTTTTTGAATATGGTTAAGAAGCATAAATCATACACTTTTGTCTGCCTGAAGTATGTTGATGCTGTCTTGGATGTGTAAGAAGAGAGCAACATGTAGCAACAGGGTGCAGACGATTTCACATCGATGGTGGCACTTGTAAATGGTTACATTTGCACATACCTGGATGTGGAGCGAATGGTGCTTCCTCCATCATTCGATTGACTCTCACGGTGCGCTGGCGGGCCAACACATGAGGCCTCTGCGAGTACATGACTCCTGAAGCTGCTTTGGCCCGGCACTTGAGATGGGTGGAAGGCATAGGCCCTAGGTCAAAACCCTCCACGCCCAATTGAAACAACAAATGAACCGAATCGACCAACCGGAAAAAACAGCACCTATACCATGGATATTCGGTCTTGCGGGGGAGCAGCGTCACGCATGAACGGACAGAGATCGTACTATAAACAGCCCACATGGGGTTGGCCGAGACGAGTTCTGGAATGATCTTCCAGTCAGTGCCAAGCTCAGATTGCTGACAACCAATTCTGAGGAAAGACGTGCTATGAAACATATTTGTAGAAGAAGACCTACCCTTTGATTAACATGGACACTGGGTCGTAGAGGAAAATGGTCAACGGGCCAATTGTCAGGGTCCATGTTCGTTTGCTTTCGTGTGTAAACTCGAGATGCTTCAGCTTCTCGACAACATGTGTTTGGCTCAAAAGGATGCGTTCCCATGCTGGGCAGTGCTCCTGCCCAGTGAGCGCTTGCAAATTGGATGAGAGCGGAAGAGAGTTATCTTTTTTGTCGGGACTGAGGAGTGGTGAGAGAGTAAAATTGGAGAGAGAGAGAGAGAGTGTGTGTACAAATCGTAGTTTATTGCCCTTCTGGGGTTCCTTGAGCAGTTCGATTCACAAGGAATGTGAGAGAAAGCTGAAGATTTACACAAAACATTCATTGATTCAGGATGTTTCGGTCATGTTGCCAGTCGCAGCAATACCACCATAATGTTTGGACCAAATAATTTGATGGTATTGGCGTGGGAGCGTTTCAGGCCGAGCTCCTGATGTTTTGCTTGCCCAGTATTGCTTTTGTTATTTTGATTTTTGTTTTGTATATAATATGTATATATATATATATGTGTTATTCTGTTCCTTCCGATGGACCACAAAGGGCACATGAGGATATTGGCTGAGCCAAAGATGTCCAGAGTTGGGGAAGTTTATGAGAGGATATTATATTCATGGATAGACTAAAGATTAGATTATCATATCATTAAGTTCATAGAATGGAATTCCTAAACTCACCACCAGATACTGCATGATTGGGAGAAGATGTCCGGAGTCATTGAGACCCACCGCTCGCAACACATGATGGTCTCGGTAAGACAAGGCCCTAGTGTTTGCTCGAGGCTGTTTTGCTAAATTTTGCTCATTCAACACTGCAAGATGCCCGTGCAAGTGCATCTTCACAATTTCGCAATGCAGTGAACCCTTTCATCCCTCCTTCTTCCAAATCAGACCAAGGAAAGTTGCTTGGCAAAGGCATGTACATTTTCTTGCTGCCACTCTTAGCCACCTGGCATGTGACATGCTCTTGCTTCACGATGGTATTTGGTGTGAAATTGTCCCCACACAAAAGTCGACATCCGGGCCGGTCGACCTCCCAGTCCATTGTGGTTTGGTCTTCGGCCGATGCCTCCCCAAAAGCGAAGAAACCAAACACACTGGGACACTTCCTCACGGTTTTTTAAGGTACGCGGTGTGAGTTGTTTGGGCCGAACCTCGGATATCAAGGGAACCGCAGGAGTTGCGTCCACTACCTCCGCAGGAGTTGCGTCTCCCACCCGCAGGGGAAACATGTTTTTTTTTTCCTTCTAGTTACTGTAGAAAGCGTTATTGCTACTAGTAGCGATGGCCTCCAACCTAATAGCCATGGCCTCCACCGTGCGTAGCTTCTAGTTGGGGTTTGCTTTGCAAACGGCAACACCACGACATGGCGGTTCAGCGAGTGGCTACACACTCGTTTGGAGCCCATCTGAGGTGTTTCACCTGGCCCACCACCGGAAGATGGGGATGAGAACCACCCCTGAATCGCCTCATGAGAAGATACACTGAATCGATTGAACTCTTATTTGGAGTTGCTCACATCTCGGTTTGAAACTGCGGAATCTAGGTGAATTCTGGTGATCAGATGAAGGTTTAAAGGGAGTCTGACGCATGGATTCTGTGCTCCATGAATTCCTGCAAAGCTGAGTTTCTTCAGATTGATCCTTCCAAGGCCTTTGTGACTTGCGAACACGACTCTTGTGCGAGTTGGGGGGGACTCACCATTTCCACAGTTTTTCTACAGTGACGAACGACCCTTCTCCAAGGTGGTGCGAACCGGGGCCTATCGGCGGACCATCTTGGAGAGAACTGAGTGGAAGGAGAGCGGATGGGTTGGTCAATGGTTTCTCCTTGTACATTTTTCAGTTTTCATCTTTGGCAAAGGTCAACCTATGTAAAGCAATTGTTCATGGGGATATATGCGTATTTTGTCTTCTGTGCGGATGGTCTGTCCATTTGTTAGGGCATTCGGAAAGACCATCTGTGATGGAGCAGGCGACTGGACCATGGACACTCCACTGAGAGTTCTATGCCCTGGAGCGAGGGTGGATCCACAAATGACTTCTCCAACCAAGACAAGGAACAAGGGCGTCCTGTGAGGCCTGGAGCATCTCCATGCACATATCAAACAGCTTAAGTGGCGAGTCCTCGCAAGTTCTTCTACTTTCCTCGCAAGTTCTTCTACTCGGTCTGAGCCTAGAAACTCGAAGATACTCAACCGCGAAGTGGAGCTGGACTCAATGCTTTTCAAAAGGGGGGGTAGGCCGCTAGTAGTAGCTAGGTAGCTAGTACCCGCAAGTAAGCTACTACTTAGGACGCAGGATAGCTCGCGCTTCTTCAAGGAAGCTGCCCCCGCCGCCCTAAAGGCGGGTGGGAAGCTTCCTTGCAGAAGCGCTCGCACTATTCACTTGGTTCCTAGATTCTTTTTTCGAAACTTAACTAAACTATGAGTTCCTGTGGACACCCGATCAACAGCGTGTGCTCACTAGCCATCCCATGGCTAGATGATCTTAGATGCACACAATGATTTCTCATCAGCCGGGGATCCAGACAGGTAGTCAACACTGCTGCCCATCTTTTGCCGCAGCTGGCTGATGCCTCATGATGCCCGAACTTTTTGGGTGGCTTTCGACTGCACACCGCACGAGTCGCACCAGGATCTCCGCGTCGAACTCTGGACTTGGAACTCGGGCAAAGCAGTGGGCCCCAGGGGACTTTCGACGGTCCCCGTGCCGACACCGTTTCGAGGACGAACAGCTCCCTTTCGGAAAGGGGAGGCGGTCGCAAGTTTGTAGAGCAAAAATCCTACAGCAGTCCAAGACGCAATGCTGACAACGTCACACCACATGGTATCTAGATGGATTTATCGCTGAGGGTCAACACAGCACTGTTCTCACGGCTTGGCAGAATGGCCAATCAATGCCGAACACGGTCTTAAATCGATACATTCGATTTTTTTTTTTTTAACCCACCTAATATGAGTCATCAACTAGACTTTACGGGGGATTTGTTGAAATGATGCCACAGAAAGTCGCACCAAGAAAGAGTAAGACAAAGTAATAGTAAGACTTTTCTTTTGCAGGCGATTCCTGGTTGGTGGAACTACCATTGTAGGACATCTCGTTCTTTTGTTCCTTATGGGAACCTCGGATGGGAACACTCCATGCCACAAGTAAGTGTGTTGTGTCGGGCTTGAGAAAAATGTCTTGTATTGGAAGGCCAGTGCAGTTTGGGTCCTCGACCAGGTTAATTATGTCCATTAAGTTATTTGCAACTGGGGTGGGGAGTTCATTTGTATCTTACTTCAGGGTTTAAGTTTAAGCCGTATCTTTTACGCTCTTCGTATCGCCGTATCTCAGGAATGGGTGATTTGGACTCGTTGTGTACCATGGCTTTACGATGTTCATTTCATGGCCTTATGAGGTTGCCCAAGCGTGCCCATGTAGTTTGGCATGTTGGAGGTTGAGTTGCATTCTGGCAGTTGCTGCGTGGCGTGCTGATCGCGTGCATTGTCATGTGGTAGTAGTCTACCCGTCAAGGATCACATGAAACCTCTGGAGGTGGCGCAACATCTTGTTGCCATCAGTAGGGGGTCTGTGTTTGTTTCAGCTCCCTCCACCTCCACCCAGCCTTGATCCCCCCATCCGAAGCGCCATGTCATCCAATGGACCAGTTTCTCGTGCGCCTCGCGCTGAGGCGAACTTGCAGCAGGAAGCGGACCGTTTGGCGGCCACCAATGCAGTTTCTTGAAGCGGAATGGGGGCGTTTGTTCGGTGGCATTCATGTGCTTCTTTGGGGAGAGCTACTGAAGGCAAAGAAATATGGCGGTGCTTGCGATGTCTCTTGAAACTTCTAGAATGTGTCACGGTGCTTGGGATGTTATTTGAAACTTCTTCTAATTAGAATGTGAGCAATCAGGGTTGTTGCAGTATGGTGGCCCCAGACCGAACTGAGGACATTCTGGTCACTTGCCAGACTGAAGCCACTGCTGATATCTCGACATTTTTGAAGGAGGAGTGCTGCTGGCTAAAATTTGAGCAGTCCTCTGACCAACTTGTCCACGAAGGAAAAACCAACAGACGTGTGGCTACTCCGTGTCTTTTCAATTTGAGGCTTATGTAATATATATAATGTCAATAGGGATGGGGTCCCAGTATAGTCGCTATACAGGTACATGCCATATACATTTTGGCTCAAGTGCCCAACCAGGTAAAAAGGAGCTTTAGCGCGCGAGCTTCATGTTGACCTAATAGCTAGAACGGGGCCAGGGCACACCTTTCCATCCGTTCGCAGGTTATCAGCCGTATCCAGACTCCGTTGAGCTGGGTACGAGCTGCGGCCTTACACAACACCATCTAAACGCACACGCATCGGATAGATCAGTTACCCTCAGTCACTGAAGATGGACCAATCCGACGCCAGCACTGCATCTTTTGGAGCAGCTGCTGCGGCCGCAGATCGGATGAGTGCATCCCACAACTCTAGTCCAGGTACGATCGAAGCGGAGACTCTGACAGCGGTGAGAGAAGATGCGACAGGTAGAGCACGAAGTCGTTCCCCGTCAGCGCACTCGACACCACCGGGGGGGACACCGAGATCAGGCCGTAGCCCTAGGGAGACAAGGAGGAGGACTGACACCGGAGCTGTGAGAGTGTTAGCATTGGAGGATGGGTCAGCTGTACCAGTGCCGTCGGACAGCGAAGCTGGAGATGGAGCAAGGGCAAGCACTGACAACCTACAACTAGCACGGGCCGATGGAGACCTGAATGCGAAGTGTGCGCAACTACTTGCCGAAGTGCATATGTTGAACCACCAAAACGCATGGATGGTCGAATGTGAGCAGAGACAGAACCAGATTATACAACACGAGACCGAAGTCCACGAAGTAGTGATGGCACACCTCGAAGAATGTTACGTCGAAGGATATGGAAATCAACGAAGAATCTCCCAACTTACAGAATCCAGAGACTGTTTGCTCTCAGCAGCACACGATCTGCAATACCAGATGGACACTGATCGTGTGGCAATGCGGGATCGTCTCACCCAGTTAGGGGAGTACGCTGATCGCAACAGCGCAGAGATGGTTAGTCAAGTTGTGAACATCGGCACGGAAGAGATCCAGGCTATATCGGCGGAAAGAGATCGAGCCGTAACCGAGGTCATGACTACAATCGCAGATGCTGAGAACGTCAAGGATCTGTGTAGACAGGAGTTGGTTGGACTACAAAGGCAGAGTGCCAGAAACAAACACGAATATGCTGAGGAAATGAAGATGAGGGAAGCAATGTATGCAAACAAGATCAAATGGTTATCAGAAGAGAATGAGGAGCTCAACAACCGATCTAATACTCAGGATAAGTTCATCTTGAGCATCAGAGAGCAATTGAAGAAGGCGAACGAGGAGTTGACTCAGACGAGGATTCAAGGATCCGATCGACCGTTTCAACCATCTAGCGCCGAACTCAAGAAGGCCGAAGCCAAGGTGAACATGTTGGAAGAGGACATTCTACGTAAAGAGAGGATGCTGAAACGTCTTCAGGAAGAATTGATCGAATCAAGCGCAAGTGAAGCACAATTGAAGGTCGCACTGAAGTTGAAACCACCAGACATGGGATCAGAACCCAGTGTGGAGAATGAGATGATGACCAAGCTTAGAGCGGAACTTGAACGTACTGAAAAGTTATTAAGGTCCGAGGAGAAAGAGGCAATTGAGTACTACGAAGGTATGATGCAGAACCAACAGGACATGATGGAATTCGAAGCGCATGCATCACGGCTCAGAGATGAGAGGAATAAGTACCGGAAGAGGTACGAAGAGGAGCGCACAAGTGCAGAGAATGCAGCCGCAACCGAACATGGTGCCGCTTCATCCTCTAGCTCAGGTGGCTCCAAGATATCTCGGAAGGAACACGAGAAGATCAACATCCCTGCATGGCCCAAGATACACGACCTGGAGGTTTGGAAATCCCAGGTTGTAGCGGCAGTCGTGACGGCATCGGGCGACGAGAAACAAGAAGACTGGATCCAATGGCTCTCGGATGCCTTCAGATCACCATATGACCCATTTCTACTCGAGACATCAGGCGAAGCAAGATTCGCTAGCATAGACGCCAAGCTAGGTATCACCCTACATACGATCATCCACGCAGCAGGTGAGAGATCTCATGACGTACAACTGAAGGTGAGGCAGATGATGCAGAGACGTGCGAGAGGCACAACTCCTGGAATGGTCAAGGGACGAGAAATGTTAGCGTTGATCGTCGATAGTTTCCGGAGTGCCGACAACGTTGATGTGATGTATGCATCCAAGCACTTATTCGATCTAAAGTTCCCTGGGGATAATCAACTATCCAGATTCCTTGGACAGTGGGATGAGATCATATCAGGTATGGATGCGGATGACATGCTTCCTGACAAAGCACTTCGCAACCTGCTTTGGGATAAGATTAAGGATTCCAAAGTTATGGCGTTAGACTTGTCTGTGTACGACAACATGTTGGATAAGGATCCGGATAAGACCTACCAGAAGTTACGAGAGATCATGACGAAGTGGATACGGAAATCAATTGAGACCACAAACAAGAGAGAAAGGGAGAAAGCTTTTGGGAACATCGTGAAAGCCACACCAGCGGCGGAGAAGAAGGAACCTAAAGCGAAACCCAAGAATACCAAGACCGATCCACCGAAACATGACGCCGCTCCAGTACTTCCTCAGGCTAATCCGAAGGACCACAACAAGAAGGACAAGAAGCAGGATCGTGGAAGATCAGCCACGAAGAGCCCAAAAGGGGATCGTGGCAGGTCAGCGACTCCAGCAGATACGTCCAAGATAGGATGCGCTTTCCACTTCCATGGGAAAAACGGATGTTCTAGAGGAGACAAATGCAAGTTTAGTCACCAAGAGAAGCACAAGAGTTCTGCTAAGAAACCAGAAAGCCTCAAGGGTGACAGATCAAAGAGTCCTGGTGGCAGGAGCAGTAGCCCTAAGCCAATGAAGGATCAGGTCTGTTGGAATTGGCAGAAGATCGTGCAAGTTCGGGGACAAATGTCAACGTCAGCATCACGCTGCTCCTGCTACAAAACAAGAGGCTAGAGGCAAAGCCAAGCCCAAACCGGCTGCGCCAGCCTTCATGCTTTGCGGAGACATCGAGAGTGATGACGAGGACGTACAACCCGCACTTCCCAACGTACAACAAGGTAAGCTGGCGCTTCGCTTTAAAGTCAGATTCGATGACCAGGCGAATGTGACCACGTTCACCTGCGGTCCTGGTAACGAACTAAACAACCGTCCCTCCAAGAGGAAGAAGAATGAGGTGCAGAAGGTGGACACCGAGCTCATTTCGTCGTCGAGAGCCCTCAGAGTGAGCAACATAGCTGCACGAGTAGCACATGCCAAAGGTAAGATGATGGAGCTATTCTATGCTGAACACATTGCCAAGGCATGGATACAAATCACTCAGGATGAAGGAATCGAGGTGAACGTCGACCTGTCTGATTTCAACACCAGAGAGGTAGTAAGGAAGGATTTTGTCGACTACACGATACCAGGAACCACGATGTTCATGGCTGTGGAGAGGTATGATGGACCACCAATACGCTTCATCATGGACACGGGATGTGGACACGACTTGATCTCAAGAGAGAAAGTCAATGCCATGAGCCTTACCACCAAGGAAGGACCCAAATCCGTGAGCTTCATGACAGCGAATGGTGTAACTAGTACATCAGAGATGGTGGACATCAATGTGGACGAACTACCCATGAGGTCCGAGGCACACGTGTTGGAAAGCACACCATCAGTCTTTTCCATCGGGAAACGGTGCATGGAACAAGGGTACTCATTCATATGGCCGGCAAATCAATTGCCATACCTCATCGACCAGAACGCGAACAAGATTCCGCTATCGGTGCATGACAACATACCCTACATCAAGGTGAATGATGATGACGGGAGATGTTTACCAAGACCAGACGGCTTGGCTACGATACTTCATCGCATACTGTCAGGTGCGGGGCATGAAGACGAGGTCACAACAGGTCAGGAGACACAACAAGAGGAACTTCCGCCCAAGAAACCACGGAGACGGAGGAGAAAGAAGAAAGATAACCAGAGAGGTCAGGATGGTGAATCTGATATCAATCCAGCTGTTGCAGGCGTCGAAGGAGAACCAGAGGAACACGGTGATGACAGGTATTCTCCTGAAGAGGAATATGACGGGGAAGACCCGAGATTCGATCGTGATCACGAAGGTCAACCTGAAGAAGCCGGAGGCGACGAACATGGAGGTGATGCGGATTCTGAACGAGGGGAGAGTGACATTGATGAAGATGAAGAGGGACTATTGGAAGTCGATGTGGTTGACGGGGAAGCCAGACTATCAAAACCAGGAGTGCTGAAGAACGAGGCGAAATCCATATTGCACTTGATGACGCACCGATACAAGAACCCATACTGCAAGTCATGTGTGAGAGCAAAGATGAAGCACTATAAGACTAGCAAGGGAGCTTTCAAACGGAAATTGAAGGCATTCGGTGACCTTATCACTTTCGATCTCATGAACACTCAGAAGATGGCGAGAGATGGGATCATGCCGGATAAGGACATATTGGTGATTCGAGATCGGTTCACTGGTGTGATATGGGGTTATCCATTGAAAGCAAGCAATAGTGACGAAGTGGTGCAGGCAATGAAGCACTATATCGGTAAGAGAAAGGTCACCAACGCTTACTCGGATGATGCGCCACAATTCGAATCAGCGCTCAAGGAACTCCGGATTCCACTAGACCAGTCGCTTCCAGGACATCCCCAGAACAATTCACTCGCCGAAAGAAACAATCAGTTCATGATGCTTACCACATCGACGTGCCTACTAGAAGCCGGACTACCACCATGTTTTTGGCCATTTGCAGTGGAATGCGTAAGCCATTTATTGAACATCGAGAAGCTGAGCGATGGCAGCAGTGCATGGTTGAAGTTGCACAAGAGCGAATTCCCAGGCATGGTGATACCACTTGG